GCACACTCTTCAAACAAAAGATATAGTGCCAAAGGATAATAATGTTCTTTCTTTTTCTTCTTCTTCTTCTTCTTCTTCTTCTTCTTCTTCGTGTGGGAGGAGGGTGAGTGGAGAGCGGAAGAAGAGTGAGAGCGAGTGATTAACTTCTTTTTTGGCTTTTTTCTTACTGTCTTTTCACTGGGTGTTTATGTTAATTGTTTAGTTGTATTTTTGTGTTAGTTTTGTCACGTTTTAGGGGTTTTTGGTTGGGTTCGGGTGTGGCCGTCAGGCGTGCCTGGCTGGCCGGCGTCTGACGACGCCATGGTGTCTGGTGGTGGGGCTTTCTCCACGCTGACACGGAAGAACGGGGTCAAGGTGGGCGCTGGTTCTCCGTGCAGCGTGGAGGAAGTTTGTTTGGCTGTCGGGGAGGTGGTTGGACATGGGTCTATTAGATCGGCAGCTCGCATGAACGGAGCTGTCGTATTGTTTGTTGAGAAGGTGGAGCAGGCTCAACGGTTGGTGGAGGTGGGCGTTTCTGTGAACGGCTTGTTTTTACAGGTGACGCCGCTAACATTACCCTCAACTAAGGTAACTTTATCAAACGTACCTCCGTTCATAAGCGACGAGTTTTTGATCAAAGAGCTGTCCCGACACGGTAAGGTGGTTTCACCGGTGAAAAAAGTACCCTCTGGGTGCAAATCACCGTTACTGAAACATGTTGTCTCCCATAGGAGACAACTGTTTATGGTATTAAATCGGAGGGATGAAGAACTCAACCTTCGATTTCATGTTAGAGTAGATGATTTTGATTACATCTTGTTTGCTACGTCCTCTAGCATGAAGTGTTTTGGTTGTGGTCAGGAAGGGCACATTGTAAAAATGTGACCCGACAGGGCCGGGTCGGCCCCGTCGAGTACAACGAAGCAGCAGCCCGCTGCTGCTGAGCAGGTGGAGGACCCACCTGGTGAGGCTGGAGCAGTGGAGGATCCCGCTGCCGCGGCGGGGGAACCCGCGGCGGCTGCGGCGGAACCCGCAGCGGCGGGGGAACCCGCGGCGGAGGAGCCCGCTGCTGAGGAGCAGGCGGAAGGTACTGTTGAGGTGTCAGGAGTGGAAAGTGTGGAAATGAGTGTAGATGTAGGAATGGATGAGAGCGCAGTGTTGTGTGGTGATGGGGTGAATGTCGGTGGTGATGGTATTAATGGTGGGAGTGATGGGGTGAATGGTGGTGAGGGTGAAAGTGAAGTGAGGGAGAGAGAGGGTGTGCAGGGAGAGCAGCAGGTGGAGGTGAGAGGCGATGAAGAGCATTTAGGGGGTGGGGATGAGGGAGAGAAAGGAGAGGTGCAGGTGGAGGAACAGAACGGTGCAGAGTTGGTTTTTGGAACTGGAGTGGCAGGAGAGACAGAGGATGTGGTGGAGTTGGAGGCTTCAGCCCCGTTAAAGAGGCGAAGCAAAAGGAGGAATGTGGTGGCTGCTGTGCAGGCCAGCAAGCAGGCTTACAAGCTGGCTGCAGAGAGGAAGGAGGTGTCGGACAGCAGCGACAATGAGAGCTGGTTCTCTGACAGCAGCGAAATATCTGTCAGTCAAACAAGTTGCAAAACACCAAGATACCCTGTAGAGTCTTTTAGAACTTTTTTAAAAGAAACTAAAGGATTCAGAGGTATAAAAATTGAAAGTTTCTTTCCTGATTTAAAACTGTTTTATTTCTCAGCAAGATATCACATCAGGAACAAAGAAGTATCAGGTTTTGCAGAAACAGAAGTTTTTAGATTAAAGAAAATAATGACTAAAGTTAGAAAACAACTTTGATTTTAAATGATGCACAGTAGTATTTTATTACTTTTTATAGTCTTTTGGTATTTTGGTTTTAGCTTCTTACCCAATATGGATTCTTTTAAAATGGCATCATTGAATCTTAACGGGGCGAGGGAAGCTGAAAAACGAGCTTTGATTTATCAAATGCTGAACCAAAAGAAAATCGACGTAATTTATCTGCAAGAAACACACAGTGATCATTTAATAGAGACTGACTGGGTCAGAGAGTGGAGGGGGGAGGTCATTTTAAGTCATGGCACCTCCCAGAGTGCAGGGGTGGGCTTCCTCTTTTCTAGAGCGTTCACCCCAAACTCTATAGAAATTGACCATGTTATTCAGGGGAGGTGTCTTTTAGTCAAGACAAAGTTTGATTGTTTTACTATAGTTTTTATTAATATTTATGCTCCTACCACCAATGCAGAGAAAAAGCGTTTTTATGAGAAAATTAGGGAACGGTTGGGTGATTGTGGGTCTGAGGATTATGTTTTTATAGGTGGGGATTTTAATTGCACTGAAAACGAGTTTTTAGACCGTAATCATGCAGAGCCGCATCCAGCAGCCCAACATGCTCTGCGGCGGCTGGTCTCATCTAATGGCCTGGTGGATGTATGGAGAAGGATGCATGCAGGCTCCAGGCAGTACACATGGTCCCACATTAAAGAAAATAAAATCTCTTTAGCCCGTCTTGATCGTTTTTATTGTTTTAAACACAATTTTAATGTGTTTAAAATATGCCAGATTTTACCAGTGGCTTTTACAGATCACTCGTTGCTTTTAGGTAGTGTTTTTATCAAAAACATTTTACCTAGAAGCGCTTACTGGCATTTTAACTCAGCCTTAACTTATGATCGGGGTTTTAAGGAGGTTTTAAGTTATTTTTGGACTGATTTTAGAGAAAGAAAGTCTGATTTTACCAGTCTTAAACAGTGGTGGGACTACGGAAAAGTACTGATAAAACTGCTGAGTCAACAACACACTCTCAATGTCACTCGTGACATTACCAGATCTATAAGCGATCTGGAGATAAACATCGTGGAATTAGAACGACTTAGTGAATCCACAGGAAATCGAGAGCATATTGAAGCTCTCAAATCTAAAAGGCTAGTTTTAGCAAACCTGCTGGAGAATAAAGTCCAAGGCACATTGGTCAGGTCCCGGGTCCAGAACATCACGGAGATGGATGCTCCCTCTAGCTTTTTTTTCAGCTTGGAGAGGAAGCACGGGCAGAGGAAGCAGATCCACTCTTTGCTGTCGGACACGGGGCAGCAATTGAGTGAACCAGAGCAGATCAGGAGGAGGGCTGTGGGTTTTTACCGTTCTCTGTTCCAAAGCGAATATAAAGAGAACGAGGAACTGTTTAGGGAGTTCTGTGATGAACTACCCCAGGTCTCCGAGGAGACCAACTCCGAGCTGGAGCGCCCCCTGGGGCTCCAAGAACTCCACACGGCCCTCCTCGGAATGCAGGGCCAGAAGTCCCCGGGCGTTGACGGGCTCACGGTGGAGTTTTACAAGGCCTACTGGGATCTTCTGGCAAAAGACCTGCTCGACGTCTATAATGAAAGTCTGTCCACCGGTTCACTCCCCTTGTCCTGCCGCAGGGCGGTCATAACCCTGCTGCCAAAAAAGGGCAACTTGCAGGATATTAAGAACTGGCGCCCCGTGTCCCTCCTCTGCACCGACTACAAGATCCTCTCCAAGGCCCTGGCCACAAGGCTAGGGAAGGCTATGGAGCAGGTCATCCACCGGGATCAGACCTATTGCGTCCCCAGCAGGTCCATGGTAGATAACATCTACCTGATTCGGGATGTTTTGGAGGTCTCCGGTTCATTGGGTTTGCAAATGGGCTTGATTTCACTAGATCAAGAAAAGGCATTCGCCCGCGTCGAACCCGGCTTCCTCTGGGAAACCATGAGGAGGTTTGGGTTCGGCGAGGGTCTTATCGCCAAGATCCAGGTACTGTACAGTGACATTGAGAGTGTGCTCAAGGTCAACGGCAGCCTGTGTGCTCCTTTTAGGGTGTGTAGAGGCGTTCGACAGGGCTGTGCGCTCTTGGGGATGCTCTACGCACTCTCCCTGGAACCCCTCCTCCAGAAAATACGCTCGACTGTTCATGGTCTGGTTTTACCTGGTTTTAAGAGCAATATGGTTTTATCTGCCTATGCTGATGATGTCGTTTTTACTAAAGATCAGCGGGATGTCACTGTTTTAACCGAGATCACGAAAAAGTTTTCAACTATGTCCGCTGCGAGGGTGAACTGGGGAAAGAGCGAAGCCCTGGCAGTCGGCGAGTGGTCCGACGGGCTCCCAGTTCTCCCTCAGGGCCTTTTATGGAAACAGGATGGTTTTAAGTATCTCGGTGTGTTTTTAGGAGATAAACATGTTGTGAACAAAAACTGGGAAAACGTTGAGCAGAAAATCAAAGACAAGTTATCTAAATGGAAGTGGCTCCACTCCCAGATGTCTTACAGGAGCAGAGTGTTGGTTTTAAACAACCTTGTTGCATCACATCTGTGGCACAAACTCAATGTTTTAGACCCACCATCTGGTTTATTAGTTAAAATACAGTCAGAGATGGTAAATTTCTTTTGGAACGGTCTACATTGGGTGCCACAGTCTGTGTCGTTTTTATCAAGAGAGGAGGGGGGCCAGGGCCTTGTCCACCTGGCCAGCAGAACGGCAACTTTTCGTCTACATTTTATTCAGAAGTACCTGACAGGATCTCCTGTGTGGAGGGATGTGGCCAGCTGTATCCTCAGACGTGTAAATTTTCTGGGGCTGGATGCTGCTCTGTTTTTAACTGATTTTAGTCTTTTAAAGTTAAAGGGGTTGCCTCAGTTTTATCAGGGTGTTTTTAAATCCTGTGCTCTTTTTAAATTGGAAAGGGCAAAAACGCATGATTCTCTGCATTGGTTTTTAGAAGAGCCTTTGGTCTGTGGGTCCAGACTGGATGCGTGTCGCGGCGCCATACCGGGACTGTCGGAGGCGTTGTGCAAGTCCAAGATGACGACCGTGAAACATCTGGTGGAGGCATTTGGACCGGATTTCTCCAATACCCAGACCGTTGCTACTCTGCTGGGGGTCCGGTCCAAGAGACTTGTGCAGCGCTTCCTGGACCGTTTGAAGGAGAGGATGACAGCCGGGGAGAGGCGTCTCCTGCAGCTCCTCCACGAGGAAAAAGCTTCGCCAGACCCGACAGACCCAGGGCCTGATGTGACCCTGAACACCAGTTTTACGACGGACAGTGGTCCCCTGCTAGCCAGCAGTGACTCACAGATGAGCCTCCAGAGTACGGGTCCAAAAGTACTCTACAAAAACTGTGTCAAAGTCCTGAATGAAAGAACTCTACGAAAAAGACCAGTGTGCGTGTGGGCAGACCGCCTGGGAGGACAAACCCCTCAGTGGAGGACACTCTACAAACCGCCGATAAAGAAACGGACTGGCGACCTCCAATGGAGGATTTTACACGGCGCCATTGCTACCAACTCGTTTTTATCGGTTTTTAGTCCAGGGGTTTTAAATGAGTGTCCTTTCTGTGGTCTGTCTGAGAGTGTTTTTCATGTTTTTATTGATTGTAAGAGACTGGTGACATTTTTTAGTTTATTGGTGAGTGTTTTTAGCTGTTTTGGCGTTGTTTTTACCAGTTCTTTATTTATTTATGGACTGCGTTTTAACAAAGCCAACAAACCAAAAGGTCAGATTTTAAATTTTTTAATTGCTGAAGCCAAAATGGCGATTTATTTATCACGACGAGACAGACTCCAGGCTGGTCCTCATCTGGATGCCGTGGCTCTGTGGAAGTGCAACGTCAAAGCTAGGCTGAGGCTGGAGTTTTGCTTCCACAGAGCCACTGGGAATATGAGAGCTTTTATACAGCTATGGGGTTTTAACGATGTACTGTGCACCATTTCTAATCAGGGAGAACTAAATTTTAACAAGCTGCTAATGTAAATATTTATTGTTTTT